TCGGGTAGGGCGTCGGGCTGGGCGTCGCACCACCGTTAATCTGAACTTTAGCGCACATGGTCCCGCCGTTGTCACTCTCTGTGTAGTCATATAGATCCTCACCGTACCACAATCGGTACTCTCCGGCCGACAACGTCTTAGCCGTAGTCGTTTGCCACGTGAATTGGGGATCTGATTGGGAGCTGGCACCGGCAATTGTGTACCATCCACCACCATGCGTGTTCGTCACGGTGTTCCCGTTGTTGTTGTAGTCGGGAAACACTACGTTGTTGTTCGAGTCGGTCATGAACACACCGAACCAAACTGAATTCCCCCACTTCGTGACCTCTTGCCCTCCCGAATTATAGACATTACCGCTGGAATATGTCATCAACACGTTAGAGACTGAAACGGCCGTGCTGATGTAGAAAGAACCGTACGAATTGCCACGCGCCCCGAAACAAACGGTAGGATCCGCTGCCGTCCCATAGCCGTACAAATCCACCTGGATGCTGCCGCCATTGTCACCGAGCGATGATGAGCGGGAAGGCTCGTACCACGTGGCGAGAATAGTATCGCCGCTTGCTATGTCGAAGTTGACATTGCAGATGATTTCGGTCGATCCAGACGCGTAGCAATTGGAAGGCAACGTATGCCAATTGGGTTGTGACACGATGTACCCTCCATTCTTCATGGCCTCGAAAGAATTGTACCCACAACAACACTGTTGCCAGACGGTGCCACCCGACCTCCTCGTATCACAATAGATGCCACTTCCACTTTGGTACACAGCTTTTAACTGTGTGAAAGAACCGTAGTTCATTGGTGTAGCATATGAGGGCATCCGCTCCCCGTAATATTCGAAATTGTCTAACAACTGCACCCATGTGTTCGTCGTGTTGGCGCTGGACTCCACCTTGAGAGAGACCGCTGTGGGCATGCGGGGGGCAAAGACCGCCGCCGCAAACACGGTCCATGGCGCCCTGAAGGCTGCCATGCCACAGAACGAATGGAGGGAGCAATATCCCGTGCGTGTACTTGGAACCAAGTTTGTGTAACGAGTGTACTGCCAAAACAATCCTCGATCTGAAATGGCTTGAGCCAAAATGGGTCCGGAATTATGTGAATGCCTTGTTTCGTTTGACTGCCAGCCGCTATCCGTTCTCCAAGCAGCGCCTGCTCTGAAGTGGGCCCTCCAAATCTCGAGGCTCGCCGGCGGGACCGCTCGAGGACCGATGAGCGCCCCGAGGATCGAGGAGCGACCCCCACCTCCCCCACCCTCCCTCGTCGTGGAAGGCCACGGCACGAGATGTGCGCAATCTGCGGACTGTGGAGGGGGAACCGCCAGCGAGAACGGCCCGGGAGGAAGAAGCTGGCCCCGGGGCAGGGGCCCCAACCCCTGGGGGCCACGGCAAAAAGGCACGACGTCCGGAGGCCTGCCCCCCTCCCCCAATCTTCGACGAGCGGCAGCTGGACGCTCTCGTCGTGGAAGGCCACGGCACGAGATGTGCGCAATCTGCGGACTGTGGAGGGGGAACCGCCAGCGAGAACGGCCCGGGAGGAAGAAGCTGGCCCCGGGGCAGGGGCCCCAACCCCTGGGGGCCACGGCAAAAAGGCACGACGTCCGGAGGCCTGCCCCCCTCCCCCAATCTTCGACGAGCGGCAGCTGGACGCTCTCGTGCAGCGCCGCGACCGTGACCCGCCCCTCCTGCCCCGACAGCATCGGCGGCACGCAGGAGTGGCCCCAGGCAAAGAGTGCCCCTTGGCGGCTCGGCGCCAGTGGCGGGATCCCTGTGGGCCCACACCACAAGTCACTCTTGCAAAGGGTCACTCTCACGCGTAGCCTTCGGTCGGGCACGTCCTCCTACAGGCAGATTCTGGACGGAAAACAGGATATAGCCAAAACATGCCCAAACATATATACGTAGCACCCCGCAATTGCGGATAAGAGTGAGGGGGCGGGCGCCGATTGCTGTTGTAGAGTCGACGTGGGCCGTATCGGGGGAATGGCACGAGGGCGCTTTCCCAAACCAATACGAGCAAGCCCGCCGCAAGCGCCGATTTGCGTGCTCTGACAAGTTCAGCGCGGGGGGGATAGCTGGTGGGCCACCCGGAACGTGTGCAAAAACAGCACGCCGCAGGCGCCTAATTTTTGGCGTGTTCAGTGAACGTAGTTTTTGGTCCCGGGTGGGTCGCGGGCTCTCCACCTCCACCTGGAAGGAATTCAAAAACAGCCCGCCGCAGGCGCCGAAAACTTTTAATTTGTACACTGGACGCGGTTTCGGTCGCAGGTTCTCCACCTGGAACGAATGCAAAAGAAACCCGCCGCAGGCGCCGAAGTTTTGGCTTGTTCAGTGAACGTAGTTTGGGTCGCGGGAAGATCGCGGGCTCTCCACCTCCACCTGGAAGGAATTCAACAACAGCCCGCCGCAGGCGCCGAAAATTTTGATTTGTACACTGAACGCGGTTTGGGTTGCGCGTGGGTCGCAGGTTCTCTCCACCTGGAACGAATGCAAAAGAAACCCGCCGCAGGCGCCGAACATTTTGGTTGGGTCGCGGGGTGGGTCGCGGGTGGGTCGCGGGTGGGTCGCGGTGGGTCGCGGGTTGGGTCGCGGGTGGGTCGCGGATGGGTCGCGGGGTGGGTCGCGGGTGGGTCGCGGTGGGTCGCGGGTTGGGTCGCGGGTGGGTCGCGGATGGGTCGCGGGGTGGGTCGCGGGTGGGTCTCGGAATGGGTCGTCGGTGTGTCGCGGGTGGGTCGCCGATGCACAAGGAACCCGCCGCAGGCGCCGAAGTTTTGGCTTGTTCAGCGAACGTAGTTTGGGTCGCGGGTGGGTCGCGGGCTCTCCACCTCCACCTGGAAGGAATTCAAACACAGCCCGCCGCAGGCGCCGAAAATTTTGATTTGTACACTGAACGCGGTTTGGGTTGCGCGTGGGTCGCAGGTTCTCCACCTGGAACGAATGCAAAAGAAACCCGCCGCAGGCGCTGAAAATTTGAGGTGGGTCGCGGGGTGGGTCGCGGGTGGGTCGCAGGTGGGTCGCGGGTGGGTCGCAGGTGGCTCGCGGGTGGGTCGCGGGTGGGTCGCGGTGTGGGTCGCGGGTGGGTCGCGGGTTGGTCCCCGGTGGGTCGTGGGTGGCTCGCCCGGGGGCGCGGGGTGGGTCGCGGGTGGGTCACGGGGTGGGTCGCGGGTGGGTCGCGGGTGGGTCGCGGGTTGGGTCGCGGGTGGGTCGCGGGGCGGGTCGCGGGTGGGACGACGACAACAATCAAACAGCACCAAACACCAAACAACAACAACAACAACAACAACAACAACAACAACAACAGCAACAGCAACAACAACAACAACAGCAACAACAACAAGAAGAATCCGCATCGCGGAATTCCACTTCAGCCACGCACCCAGGGACAGTGAATGACCGTTCGGTTCAGCCCCCTCACTCTAACAATTATCCCAGTGCGACCCTACCTAGGAGTTTGAACCCCTAGGAAAGCAGCATTAGTAGTAACAGTAACGCTAAGCTAAAGCTAAGCTAAAACTAAGCAAAAGCTAAGCCAAAGCTAAGCCACAGCTACGCTAAAGCTAAGCTAAAGCTAAGCTAAAGCTAAAGCTAAAGCTAAAGCTAAAGCTAAAGCTAATCTAAAGCTAAGCTACAGCTAAGCTCAAGCTAAGCTAAAGCTAAGCTAAAGCTAAGCTAAAGCTAAGCTAAACGCTAAGCGAAAAGCTAAGCGAAACGCTAAGCTAAAGCTAAGCTACAGCTAAGCTAAAGCTAAGCTAAAGCTGAAGCTCCCAGGGGACTGGGGGGAACCGCGGGGCGGGGACTGGGGGAACCGCCCGGGGCGCTTTCCACTGCCCGGCCCCTTTAAGCTAGAGAGTAAGAACCCTTCTAGGCAGAGCCTAGGTAGGGAAAAAGACTCGAAAATCGTCCCCAGGCTATCTTTTAACTATTTTTGAACATTCCTCCTGCGGAGGGACACGCCCGACAAACGCGTAGCCGACAGCAACGGCCGCCTGTCTCCGCCATGGCGCCGGCGAAACGCGGCCGGCACGCTCGACCCTCTGCAACGCCCCCCGAAGGGCCCTCAGAGCCAAAGCTCGGGGGAGCAGCGGCGAAAGGCCAGCAGCGACGGCCGGGGTGGGAGACGCTCGGCGCCCCTTTTGCATGTCCTGCCGTCGCTTCTGCCCTCCGCTTGGCCTGTCATCCGCTCTGAAGAGTGTGGAGGGCGGCCGCCCTCGCCTGCCTCGCTGCAGGCACGGTCGCTGCCAGTGCCCGGACTGCTGCTCTGGCACAGGCTCCAGTGTACTCGGGGGCGTTCCCGCGCGTCGGCGTTTGCGCCGCGTGGCAACATGCGGGACACAGTGCAAACGAGTTCTGCGCAAGGGGGTATGGTTGACAACCTGGCAGCAGTGCAAAAAGAAGTCGGCATGAACGTGGAGCCGCTACGACTGAAGGATGCATCACTCAGCAGAAGGCCGGGACAGTCGGGATCTAGGGAATAGGGAGAGCAAGCGGAGGAGGCAAAGGAAACAAATAGACAGCACTGCCATGTCTGCAAATGTCGCCACCAGCACGCTTGTCCACGCGCCTGCGCCTGTCTATCAGTGTCCGTGGATAACTTCATCTGTCACATGTCGGGAATTCGGCGCCTGCGAGAGACCGAGCGCCTCGGGCGAAGGCGAGAGACGATCGCTGAAAGCAAGAGGCACTAGCCCGCACGGGCACATACGTGCGCGCACTCCGTCGGCATCGACATCCACTTCCCACGACCCCAGATTCCACACGAGAGCCGACAGCCGTCGAGGTAGCCGTAGCTCCGGCAACAGACAGCCAGCCATCGGACGGCGGACTCGCCTGCTCGTCAATGTTCTCCCCTGCCTCCGTCCCCTGCCGTCACTAGTCCCCCCCCTACCCCTGCCATCCGCAGTCGTCCAGGGGGACCTGTTTTGCACGAACCCGCGCCCGCGCCGTCAATGGACAAATCAGTTCCACTGCGTCGGAGAGGACAGGGCCCAGCAATGCCAACTAGGAGGAAAAGCAGGGCGTGGCCAAAGTAGGCGAGGAAGGATCTCGGGAGCCCGAGACGGGACAGCATCGGGTGATCCGCCCGGGCTCGCAATGTCACATTTTCTTGAGCACATACTTCGGGGTGGGTGGACTCCTGCGCACCATTGGGAATATGGGGCCCCCTCGTGCACGCGTTCGAGAAAGTGGTTGCACCCAACAAGGTCGCAAGACGAGCTGCGCAAGGGACCCTACGATCGGTGGCCCCAGAGGAAGCACGCGCACACCAAACACCGCAACAAATCAGTTTAGGCAGTCCCTGGATAGTGGGACGCACAACTCAAAGCGGGACGAACCCTAACCCAGTGATAGAAGCTGTTTGGCATACCTCGTGTGCAGACCAACGCCACAACCATACCTGGGACTATGCCGCCCGACCAGTGCTCTTGTGCGACGCGCTCCAAGCACGATTGTGACATTTCCCCTCCCCACGTCTTCTTGATCCTGCCCGCGCAGCTGCTTGTCTACAGTGGAGGCTTGTCCACAAGAAACCTTCCACAAGAAACCCAACCCCGAGACCCCAGGACGTCCATTGATATGTTTGGTGTGGGAACGCCACGCTCCCCATAGAAAAACCATCGGCACCCAAGAAACCCAGGGCACCCTGGAGGCTAGAAGGGTGTTTCTTGGCATGGGCCCCCACTCCACTTCCGACCGCAGCTGCCCCGTGCTACAGAGCCTGGCCTGGAGCGCGAACCCGTGCTCGCCGCTGGCGCCGCCGTCGCCGTCGCCGCCCCTCGCCGTCGTCGCCGCCGTCGTCGCCGTCGACGCCGTCGCCGTCGCCGCCCCTCGTCGTCGTCGTCGTCGTCGTCGTCGTCGTCGTCGTCGTCGTCGTCGTCGCCGCCGCCGCCGCCGCCGCCGCCGCCGTCGCCGCCGCCGCCGCCGCCGCCGCCGCCGCCGTCGCCGCCCCACTTCGCGCACCGCGCCCGTCGAGGCGCGAAAGCGGGAGGGAGCAGGAGGCGGAGGAGGAGGAGGAGGAGGAGGAGGAGGAGGGGGAGGGGGAGGAGGAGGAGGAGGAGGAGGAGGGAGGAGGAGGAGGAGGAGGAGGAGAGGAGGAGGAGGGAGGGAGGAGGGAGGAGGGAGGAGAAGGAGAGAGGAAGAGGATGAGAGAGAGGAGAGAGGAGAGGAGAAGGAGAGAGAGAGAGGAGAGAAGAGAGAAGAGAGGAGGAGGAGGAGGAGGAGGGGGAGGAGGTGGAGAGGGGGAGGAGGGGGAAGGAGGGGGAGGAGGAGGAGGAGGAGGAGGAGGAGGAGGCGAGGAGGAGAGGAGGAGAGAGGGAGGAGGAGGAGGAGGAGGAGGAGGAGGAGAAGGAGAAGGAGGAGGGGGAGCAAGCAAGCAAGCAAGCAAGACCTGGGCAGCAAGTGTCACACGCTGTCGAGACTCGCATCTGTGTGCGAGTGCGCCGTAGCTTTGACGAGTGCTGCTGGTGAGAGGGGGGGGAGGAGGAGGAGGAGGAGGAGGAGGAGGAGGAGGAGGAGGAGGAGGAGGAGGAGGAGGGCACGAAGCTCGGCGAGCAGGTCGATCTGCGGCCTCGCCTATGCTTGCATGCGGTGCAGAGCGGCCAGTCTCACACCAGACCGATGATCCGCTCCGGCATCCAGGCCCACGTCCACGCGGTGCTTCTGGATGTGGTAGCACTGGCACATGAGGCCGACCGAGTAGATGCAGTCCGTGATCGGTCTCCTTGCGTGGAACTGCGCGTCGCCGAACCCGAGGAGCTCGACGCCATGGCCCAGGGAGTCCGCGCCAGCGTCGCCCGCGGTCATCGCCCTGAGGATCGGGCAGACGATGTAGTGCTCGAGCGCGTCCTCCTCATCGCAGCCGAACAGGCATGGACGCGCATCGATGACGGCGCTCATGCGGCGAGATGTCGTCCAGCCGTTGACCGCGGTGCGGATCCACGACCACATCCATGCAGGGCGGACCTCCGTCAGCTTGTCACGCAGCGGAGGCCACCTCTCGCGCAGCTCGGGAAGCGAGCACACGACTCCCCACCTGCGCAGCCGGCGGTGGATGGTGGCCACCAGGTCCTCGGGGTACAGCGAGCCTCGGAGCGATATGGCGGCCGTGGCCTGGCGCTTGGGCTTCCTGTTGGGGATGGCCGCTGCCGCCGCCTTCGTCTCCAGGGTCATCGCCGCCTTCGCAATCTTGATGTACCTGCTCGGAATCGGGATCGGGAGCACATCGAGCGTCGGTCTGGGGATGTTCAACTGGCCGTAGGTGTCCGTGATGATGGCGAAGTTCTGTACGATCGCCCTCCGCGTCTGCCACCGCGGCGGCGACCAGTTGCCCTTGATCACGTCGACCAGTGGGACATGCTCCACCGCAGCTTCATGAAGGTGGTGAAAGTGAGCTTCCCATTCGCGAACCGTGTTCTCCGCCGTGCGCATCATCGCCGCGAGCGTGTACGGGAAGAGGCCCGTCGGCGAGGGGGGGCCGCACCACGCGCTCATCGACAGGATGTCGGCCTTGCGCATGGACGAGGGCGGCAGCCGCAGCAGGCGGTGCAGGGAGGTGAACTCGACCTTCCAGATGGCAGGCACAATGAAGTAGAACTGCGCGAGGTACGACAGGCACGGTAGCGCGTTGATGTTGCACGCGCGGGCCGCAAGGCTGGTGGCCATGCCAGTGCGCGCCAGTTCCCAGCAGCGGGTCCACCATTTCCCCGCAGCAGCCTTCCAGATGCCGAAGTCTGTGACGCCTGGTCCCAGGTGAGTCCCCAGGTACTTGGCCGTGGAGTCGACGCGGAAGCCCGACCAGCGGGGGACCTCCTCAGCGAGGAAAGACTTAACGTCCTGCAGTGTGTCCTCCGAGAGCTCCTCCCACAGCGGAACCAGCACGCACTTGTGCAGCGCCAGCTGCAGGTTGAAGGCAAACTCTATGGAGACGAAGGTGTAGTCGATGCTAGGGAGGGCGACAGCGTTCTTGATCAGCATCCCGAGGTCGTCGGCGCAAGCCGTGAGGAACCCATGCTCTGCAATCGCAACCAGCAGCGCGCGGATGGGCGCGTCCATGGCCAAGCACCAGACCGTGCCAGAGAGCGGGCATCCTTGCATGATGCCGCATAGGAGCGCGAACAGCGGCTCGAACTCCGCGCTGGCGCCCTCGGCGCGGAAGGAGCTGAAGGCGAGGCAGTTGCTGTAGAGCGCCGCGACCACGTTGCAGAAGCCCAGCAGCAGCCTTCCAGATGCCGAAGTCTGTGACGCCTGGTCCCAGGTGAGTCCCCAGGTACTTGGCCGTGGAGTCGACACGGAAGCCCGACCAGCGGGGGACCTCCTCAGCGAGGAAAGACTTAACGTCCTGCAGTGTGTCCTCCGAGAGCTCCTCCCACAGCGGAACCAGCACGCACTTGTGCAGCGCCAGCTGCAGGTTGAAGGCACACTCTATGGAGACGAAGGTGTAGTCGATGCTAGGGAGGGCGACAGCGTTCTTGATCAGCATCCCGAGGTCGTCGGCGCAAGCCGTGAGGAACCCATGCTCTGCAATCGCAACCAGCAGCGCGCGGATGGGCGCGTCCATGGCCAAGCACCAGACCGTGCCAGAGAGCGGGCATCCTTGCATGATGCCGCATAGGGGCGCGAACAGCGGCTCGAACTCCGCGCTGGTGCCCTCGGCGCGGAAGGAGCTGAAGGCGAGGCAGTTGCTGTAGAGCGCCGCGACCACGTTGCAGAAGCCCAGCGGAACCCCGAAGCGCGGGAGGACCTTCTCGATGACTTCCCTGAAGAGTGAGGGGAAGGCCTGACGGAAGTCGAACGACAGGAACATGGGGCGGCGGGTCGCCGCGTCAGGAAGAAGGCCCTCCCGACGGCATTCCGCGTCCAGGTGCGGGATGTGGTCGACGAAGCGCCGCCCAGCAGTGAAGCCCTTCTGCTCGGGTGAGGTAGATGATGTGGCGATGGGCTGGAGCCCGCGGTCTGCGCAGGCCGCTATCAGCTTGGCGTCGCAGCTCTTCAGAGAGAGGGTGCGCACCGTGGAGGCCGTGCGCGCGCAGGAGTCGGGGACGTCGTCCTCCTCCGTGCCCTTTGGCACGCAGATGAAGATCGACCAGTTGAGGTCGAGCGGGGCCACGCCGTCGTTGAAGAGGACTTCCATGAGACCCTGGAGATGCTGCAAGGCTCCAGGGCTGCGGCGCCACGCTGCGCACGACAGCTGATCTGGTCCCGCAGCGCTCGGCGGGGCCCTACTGGCCGCACGTTCCAAGTCATGTAGAGCTGGTTGAGGTAGTTCCGCCGCGGGCTTCCTTGGCGCGTGCTTGTCCAGGAAAGCGCCCAAGGCCTTGAGCTGTTCAGAGTTCGGCACCTTCGCGAAGATCTCACCCCAGTAGTTCGCTACGGTCGCCTTCATGCCCGCGGGATCGGAGACCACGTGCTGAGCCACCTTCGAGTCCTTGGCGGCACACGGTGCGGAGTCCACGCGCAGGCCCGACAGGATCATACGTCGCCGCCACGGGACCCAGAGCTGCGCATGCCTGGCGGCCTTGCGCTCAACCCTCCGCCAGGCTGCGCTGTCGCGCACGTTGGCCGTCCGAGCTGCTGCCTCCGCCGCCTGCCTGCGCAGGGAGTGCACCCGCTCGGCGACGGCGTCGAAGTTGGTGGCGAAGCTGTGGGGGTCCACGAGGCGCACGGTGCCGTCGGTAACGTGGAGGTGGGCGGCCAGCGCAGGGCAGGACTCGAGAAGCCTGCCTGCCAGGGCAGCGTCCTGTCGCCAGACAGCCCGCGCCGCCGACTTGAAGCCCATGTACGAGGTCTCGACCATGGAGTCCTTGACGCGTAGGGAGAAGTTGGTCCGCAGCTGGTCATCACGAACGCGTCGCGCTGCAAGTTTCATGCACTGCTTCGCTGCTCTCCAGCGGCCTTCCGCCGTTTCCCCCGCCAAGGAGCAGTGGTCCAGCATGAGCGTGTAGGTCTCAGGGTACTTCCTGTGGTTGAAGAGGTGCGTCGGGATTGGCTGCTCGTCTCGTGGTACCTGGCGTGCGGCAGTGATCTGCAGGACGAGGGGCGCGTGGTCGCTGATGCCCTCCTCGGAAAGCTCCATCGCGTCCCTCGCAGTGGTGAGGATCGTCGAGACCGAGAGCATGGCGTGCGCGTCGATGCCCAAGAAGATGCGGTCGATCGTGGACAGCTGCTTGCTGGACTTGTCGTAGTGGGTCGGCCACTGAGACTCCACCTCCAGAGCTGCAGCGAATAGACGGCGCCACGCAGGTTGCCGAAGTTGGCAACGGTGATCAGGCCGGAGGCGCCAAGCTGTGGTGTCTGTGGGTGCTCGTTGACTGACTGGCGGGCGGTTAGCTATGTTGAAGTCACCAACGCCCAGGAAGATGCGGGGTAACGAGTCGCGGCGCGCCAACGCCAGGCCACTGGACCAGGTGCGCTGCACTGCGGTGAACTCGTGCGGCTTGAGGTCGTAGTTGTGGATGTTGAAGATCTGCATGCTGCACTTGCCCGTGCAGTCGGTGATCGTGAGGAGCGCCGCGCGGCCGGCCGCAACTATGTCGAAGCGGTAGGCCGGCAGAGCTGATGTGGAGCTTCGTGTACTTGACCAGGTGTTGTTCGGTTGTGACGTGGATGTCGTGGGAGAACGTCGTGTACTTGACCAGGTGTCGGGGCAACTTGCTGTCGTAGGTGAGGAGGAGGTTCGCGTACTTGACCAGGTGTCTTGAGTCGGCATAGATGAAGTTGGGGGCGAGGAGCGCACAGGAGGTCTTCCACGTCTCGCCTCGCTCCCCTCTCCCAGAGATTCGGCTCTGGGCCCATCCACCCTTGAAACTTCGTCGGCGTATCGAGGGACGAGGAAGGCGACTCCGCCCACGGCGGCGGAAGAGCCAGGCGAGAGGAAGCTCAAGTACTTCTGCGGCTGCGACTGGAGAAAAATCCTGAGGGCGTCCTCGGAGCCGTGGACCTCCTGCACGGCGATGATGGCGTTGACCTTCGTGTAGGTGGCGAGCAGTGCCAACTTGCGTCTGCGCAGCCTCGCGTCCGAGTGGAGCAGGCCGCGGGCGTTCCACACGACCAGGTGAAGTCCCCGAAAGCCATGCCGTGCGCCAGGAGGACGCCACGGCGCCCACAGTGGGCTGCTAAATCCACTCGGTGTTGTCCTCCGTGGAGAAGGCCTTCTTGAACTGCGTGTTGATGGACTCCCTGTCGATGTGCAGCCTGGCGACCATGTCTGGGTTCCACCTGATGATGGTGTCGGTGTTGCGGGATTCTCCCATCTCGAGCTTGGCAACCTTGACGCCCTGGGAGGTGACGATACCACGGGCCCGCTGAGCACTGAAAGACTGATCAGGAAGAGCTTCTGCCAGCAAGACCGAGAGCTTCCTCGACTGGATCTCCATTCGTACTTGCTGCGGTGACTTGTCAGGCGAGAGGTACAGCGGGACGACGCCTCCGCCGACGCTCTGCGCGCTGAAGGAGCGCCACCCGTTCCTGCCAGCTGGGTCACGTAGATGCCGTGCGAGTGCTTGGGCCCGAGGGAGAGCGACTCCGTCGCCGCCCTGCACCAAGACGTTGGAGCGCTTGGCGGGGACCGCAGGGTCGATGCGGACCATGTCGTTAGTGAGGCCAGCCGCTCGAATCCACTCCTCCAATCCTTGGAGAGCTTGGGCGGGTCCAACCAACTGCGGCGCCCCAACCGAGAAGATCCGTGGGTTGGGTTGCCGAGACCACGCCTCCAGCTCCTGAAAGTCCGTGATGGGCAGCTCCTTCTCGGCGAGGGCCAGGGCCTTGTTGATGTCCCCGATCTGCTTGCGCATGGCGGCCTGCTCCGCCTCCAACGCGTCGGCGCGCTGACCGATGGAGGCGATGTCGCGAGTCTGCACGGCGAGGGACCTGTTGACTGCCTCCTGCTGGGTCTGGAACATGCGCACCAGCTGCGTCTGGCAGGAGGTGACCTGGGCCATGGAGGTCGCGGCGATGGCATCGGTGGCCTGGCGAATGCAGCTCTGCAGCATGGCCTGCATGTCGATGCCGCCAGCGTCCACAGGAGTGGCCATCCCACCGACAGGAGTGCCAGCAGCAGGTAGCTCAGTGTGTCCAGCAGCGGGGGCGGCGCGATCATGCCAAGGGTCCCCGCCAGGGCGTTGCCACGGGTCGGGAGGAGCATGTTGAGGTCCAGCTTGTTGGGGTCCAGCGGGCGCTTGTTCCACTTGCATGGCCTGGCGCTCCTGCGTGGGGAAGGTGGCCGCCGCCTCAATAGCGGCCACGAGCTCGTCCTGGGCGGCGCGATCGAGTCCTCCGAGTCCTGGGCACTCACGGTCACTGGCCTGCGATCCCGAGGCATCCGCCTCGCCGTCGGAGCGAGGGTGGCCACGACGAGCCCGTCGGCGCGCAGGGGCACGCTCGTTCGTGCTGCGAGAGGCCGAGCGCAGGTCCTCGGCTGGAGGCTGCTCCTTGCCCTTGTCGCCGCGCCTCCGACCGTCAGCAGCACCAGGGCCACGATGGCCGCCGCCAGCACGACCCGTCATGAGGAGGAGGAGCAGGAGGAGGAGAAGGAGAAGGAGGAGGAGGAGGCATCCCTGGAGCCCACCGGCTCTCTCCGGGAGCGGCCGAGCGCCCCCCCCCCACCCACGGGGCGGGCGCGCCGTCGCGGCGTCGCAGCGCCTCCTCCTCCTTCTTCCTCCTCCTCACTCCTCCTCCTCCCCCTCCTCCTCCTCCTCCTCCTCCCTCCTCCTCCTCCTCCTCCTCCACCTCCTCCTCCTCCCCCTCCTCCCCCCTCCTCCCTCCCCCTCCTCCTCCTCATCCTCTCCCCTCCCCCCTCCTCCCCCTCCTCCCCCTCCTCCTCCCCCCCCTCCTCCTCCTCTCCTCCTCCTCCTCCTCCCCTCCTCCCCCTCCTCCCCCCCTCCCCCCTCCCTCCTTCCCCCTCCTCCCCCTCCTCCCCCTCCTCCCCTCCTCCCTCCTCCTCCTCCTCCTCCTCCTCCTCCTCCTCCTCCTCCTCCTCCTCCTCCTCCTCCTCCTCCTCCCCCTCCTCCTCCTCCTCCTCCTCCTCCTCCTGGCCGCGGCTCCCGGCCACGGGGTGCCCCAGGGCGTGGCCCCAGAGGGGGGGGGGGCCCGAGCTGGTCCCGAGGGCCTTCGAGGATGCTCGGAACGCTGGGGTTGGATGCTCGTTCTGGGGACCTTCCTGGAGCCACTCGCTCCACTCGTGCGTCGAAGCTGCGTCGAACGTCAGTCGATTTGGGTCGACCCTGAGTCGAACCTGAGTCGAACCTGCGTCGAACCTGAGTCGAACTTGAAACGAACTTGAGTAGAACTGGGGTCGAACAGATCCGTTAGGTGGGCTCCAGGAAGGTCCCCGAAACGAGCATCGAACTGGGGCCAGTTTCTTCCCATGCTCGAGCAAGGAACCGAACCCTACACACCGACGCTTGTTGCGGCCCCGCACTGAAGCTCGCACGGGAAAGCGGATCCTGGTGTATGCGGGACCCCGGTGTATACACGCGCCGCTGCTTCCCTAGGATGACGGGGAAAAAATATACACCACACCACCCCGACGTCTTCCCCGGCCCTCGAAAAAGTTCTGGAATTCAAGAACAGCCCGCCACTGGCAATGTATACGTTCCAGTTTCCGATCGAGATCGTCGCTTCCTTTCCGATTTGGACGCCGTTTTTGGTGCTCACTGTTTCGGTTCCCGGAGCGGCCCGTGGCCCACCTGCTCGTTTCCGCCCAGTGTCAGCGCATGGTCAAAATACGTTCTTGGGTATCACAAATGCCGCGTGCCTGACGTCCACTCTCCAGGGCGTCGTGTTTGGAACGTTTTGGCACAGTCAAGAGCGAAACATGGACAACGAAGAAACAAACCAACAAAAACGCCCCCAGCGCTTAGAACAATCAAGCCGAGGACCCCCACGAGGCTCCAGGAGGTCGCAGAATCCCCAAGGTGTTGCATTAAGCACCAGGGGGCTCCTCACTGGGCTTCAGCAGATCCAGAGCGGTCATAGTGATCCAGAAAGCGCCAGGGGGCAACCCCACGCGGCCCGACGACAGAAGGCCACAAGATGACTTCTCCTCTCCAGGTCCGCTCTGAGGTACACGTCGTTCAGTTCTAATCGTGCTCATTTCTAATTGTGCTCGTTTTTGTTCCTGGCCCCCTCGTGGCCAGGAATAGGCCCAGGATAGAACAATTAGAAATGAAATGACCTTGCCCCCTAAAAATCGAGGAACCTTCGAAGAATTAGAAATGATCAGTGTGCACGTTTGGCATCCCATGAGTTCAGAGGCTTTCAGCGGAGTGGCTTCTCTGGCTTGCCCAGGGAAACAAACAACGACATCCGCCGGCCCCCTTGCGGGGCCACCAGACTGCGAGGGTGAAGACGGCAGCTCCCTGCTCCAGCTACAGCTTCCAGTTTCCACTGCAACAGACCTGCGTTCTGCTCCCTCCCTGTTGGTTGTTGCTGTCCGCGCGAGGGGTGGGAGCCCCAGACGGGATTGCACGCCCGGGGAAGGTTCTCGGAGTTCCCGGGGTGGGAGACGTAAAAATACATGATACTCGGGTGCCCGAGGCCATACTCTCCTGGTAAATTACGCCATAGCCGCGTCCCTGAGGCTATATAACCTGGTAGCTTCCACACGATTCGCGTCCCCAAAACCATAATCCCTCGGAAATTAGATAATACTCGCGTCCCCGAAGACATACGCCTGCGTAAATTATACAAGATTCGCGCCCCCGAGACAATAGACCCACGTAAATTACATAAGATTCGCGTCCCCGAGGCCATACACCCTCGTAAATTACGCGATGCTCGCGCATCCGAATCCACAAAGCCTTCCAAATTACTCCATATTCGCGTCCCCGAAGCTATACAACCTCGTAAATATGAGATGCCACTTACCAATTGCCCTAGCATGAGGTTCCGACATTGTTTAACAACGTCGCCGAGAAAATCCGCCGACCCTGTCGGCGTGTGTGAGAGGCTTGTCCGTAGTCGTCATCTCCGTCATTCATTGGTCGTCGTCTCTGTCGCCCCCTTTCCCTGCCTCCCCCATTTCCCTGGGCTCGTCGAAGCTCCCCCCTTGCCCAGGGACCTCCTCAGCGCGCCAGCCAAAGCGAAGTTGAGCAACGTCGTAATTGAGTCGAAGGGAACTCCCTTCCCTTCGATCACTCCCCCGCCAAGGGGGGGGGGGCCGGGGGGGTAGGGTCAGATACAACGCCCCCCCCGGGAGTCCTGGAGCCCAAAAAAGCCCCAAGACAGGCCAAGAGTGCCCCAAGAGGCCCCAAAGACAGTCCAAGAGAACCCCGAATCGCCGACCGATCTGTCCAAGACGCCTTGACAGCCCCCAGACGGCCCAAGAGGCCTGCAAAGCGCCCCAAGAGGCCTCCAGGAGCTTTCCCACGAGAGCCCCAAGAGGCAAAATCCATAGATTTCCCATACGTTTTTGACAGATGTTGGCATTCTTGCCTCTTCCGCTTCCCGACGCGCTAAGACGGCCCAAGAGGCCCCCAAGATCACCCCGAGACGGCCCCAGAGGCCCCCAAGAGAATCCCCTAACGGCCGAAGAGGGCCCCAACACGGCCCAAGACGCCTCCAAGACGGCCCAAGAGGCCCCCAAGACGGCTGCAGGAGAGTGCCCAGACAGGGGACCCGAACGGACATTTCGAGCTCTCAGCCCCAAGAGGCCCCCAAGAGGCCCGAAGAAGCCCCAAGAGGCCCCAAGAGGCTACCAAGGGGCCCCAAAACTGCCCCAAGACAGCCCAGGAGAGCCCCAAATTGCCCAGGCCTCCAAGAGTGCCTCGAGAGGGCGCAAGAGGAGCCCTGGACGGCCCAAGACGGCCTCAAGAGAACCCCAGGCTGGTCCTCCGCTCCACCTCCTCCTGCTCTCCTCTGCCTCCTTCTCCTCCTCTTGCCTCTCCTCCACATCCTTCTCCCCCATCCTCCTCCCTCATCCACCTCCTCCACCCTTCCTCCACCTCCCACTCATCCTCCCCCTGCCCCCCCCCCCTCGTTTTCATCTTCGTCGTTCTCAGGGTCTGCGGCACTGGCCGTAAGGCCTTCGCAATACAACATAGCTCTGACATACCCCATCCTAGTTGAAAGGGAGCCGACAGCAAGGGGCGAAGCCCTTACGGATAAACATAAAAACTCTGAGGTCCGCGCGGATTTCTCGGATCCGCGCTGGACCCTCCTCCCTGGCGCGCGGAGCGCGCCAGTGGCGGCGCTGGAAGCGCCGCCAGGGGGGTCCAGCGGTGATCTGAGAAATCCGCGCGAACCTCCATGTTTTTGCCTACCTAGGCTCTGCCTAGAAGGGTTCTTACCGTGTTGGCTTCAAGGGCCGGGCAGTGTTCCACGCCCCCGGCGGTTCCCCCAGGATCCGCCCCGCGGTTTCCCCAGTTACGTCCCCTTAGCTTAGCGTTGCTTATCTCATCTTAGCTTAGCATATTTCATATTAGCTTAGCTTAACTTCATCTTAGCTCAGGTTTATCTTAGCTTAGCTTACCTTCATCTTAACTTCGCCGAGCTTCAGCATAGCAGAGCACATCATAGCAGAGCGTAGCACAGCACAGCGCAGCACAGCATACCATAACAAAGCCCAGCATAGCACAGCATAGCGCAGCATAGCATAGCATAGCATGCATTATTATTCCCTGCCTAGGCTCTGCCTAGAAAGGTTCTTACTCTCTATCTTAAAGGGGCCGGGCAGTGTTCCACGCCCCGGGCGGTTCCCCCAGGATCCGCCCCGCGGTTCCCCCAGTTACGTCCCCTTAGCTTAGCGTTGCTTATCTCATCTCAGCTTAGCATATTTCATATTAGCTTAGCTTAACTTCATCTTAGCTCAGGTGTATCTTAGCTTAGCTTACCTTCATCTTAGCTTCGCTGAACTTTAGCATAGCAGAGCACAGCATAGCATAGCGGAGCATAGCATAGTGCAGCATAGCATATTAGCATGGGTGTAATTCCCTACCTAGGCTCTGCCTAGAGGGTTAGCTTAGCTTAGCTTAGCTTGACATAGCGGAGCGCTGCATTGGCATAGCATAGCATAGCATAGCATAGCCAAGCATATCATATCATGGCATAGCATAGCGCAGCCTAGCATAGCAGTAGCATAGCATAGCATATCATAGCGCAGCTTAGCATAGCATAGCATATAATAACATAGCTTAGCATAACACAGCATGACATAGC